CTCCATGTGACTCTCCTTAGGCACACTCTACATCATCGATCACTTTCCTCTTTGGCCCCATAATCTCCTTGATCAGAAAATTTGGGATACTACTGAGTTACATGACATTACAGTAGAAGTTCTCATATGTCCTGAGTCTTCGCAATGTGTTAATTATTGAAACTGTCCTACCAATGTGGTTTGAAACTGTCTTATTGCTATTTGTTTCTCAAAATTATTGAAAAAAATACTTTTTACGTTTGACAGTATGGTCAGCTCAAGGAATATAAGCAGGGTGTTGATTATATACTTTGTGCAAGAAGAAAACCAGAAAATGGCTTAAAACATATTCAGAAATAGGGTAGAAAAATCAAATTCATCAGCAGAATTTCAGAAAGTATAGAATTTTGAAGAAGATCCAGAAGAGTTAACACTGTGGTTAGGAAAAATCACCTTGTGCATAACTACCATCAAAGCTGCCTTTCATGTTTTAAGGTCTTATAAATAGTAATTCAATTATAACTCATTTAGGATAATTATTTACTTTTTATCATTCATTATTTATTGAGTGCATACTCAGACAGCTTTTGTTCTCTTCTTGATACTTAGGATATTATAGTAAACATGATAGACACATTCTAAAATTTACATTTCAATGGAAGTAGCCATTGTAGAGTTTCAATTCTGATAATTTGTCTTGAAGGGAATGTACATACGACTGTAAGACCATGAACAGGGAACCTGACCTGGGTGGAGATCAGCAAAGCCTCTGCCATTCCTTGCCCTGCCCTGCCCTGTCCCACCATGCCCCGCCCCTTCCCTTCTCTCTTTTCTCTTTCCTTTTCTTTTCTTTGATCACTTTTTCCTTTTAAATCCTGATTCTGAAAATAAATGGAAACTTAACATTTTTCCACAGAATTATCCTAACATTTTATAGTCAGTGGAAAGATATGATAATAAGAGCAAATGTATGAACTCTTGAAAAAAGGGGGAGGAATGCTGAATGATTGCTTTACGTCAGTAGTGGTTGGAATATTTGTTGAGGCCAAACATTGAAGTCTTTATACTATTTTAGGAGAATGGACGTCATTATCAAACTTTTCAGCATGGAAGTTTATAATCAAAAGAATAACTTGAAAGATAATTTCAGATATAAAAGTTAGCACTTTTTACAATTTTTTATTTTATTACCTGTTTCTTCTACTAGTATGTCTTTATTATCTCTCCAAGAAGACAGTGGTTTTTATTGTTTTGTCCACTTCTGAAACTTTGTACTTAGGAAAATCCTTAGAATATACTAAACGTTAAATATTTGTTGAATAACTGAAACACACAAAGAAAGTATATAGGATAAGAACTAAAAACTGCTGCCAGTGTCTTTAAGGAATAGTGTCTGGGGCTGGAATTCAGTGGTAGAGTGTACCTGGAAGTGAAAGGTCCTGGGTTTCATCTCCAGCATTATGAAAGAGAGTTTCTGAAGTGCAATGGGAACACAGTCAGTATTACAGTGGTCTGCGGAGAGAATGAGAGTCGGGAATAAGGAGAGTAAAAGTGGATAGCCCTCAGGGAAATAGGCGAAGAAGATGAGAGGGAAGTTGAACATGTAATGTAATTGGAGGCAGTGGTCTGGGATCAGAGACATGTGAAGAGGTTGGCCTAAGACAAAAGGCCAAGAGAAGGATGATTGCAGGTGCAAGTAAGTTTGCGAATACAGGGAATGAAAATTAAGTGAATTCATGCCTAATTGCTATGTATTCTTTGTAAAGCAGGAAACTGACTTTCCACTGAGAGAGATGTGGAGATACATGATGGGATCTAAAAAGCCTCTGTGTGAATAGGAATTAGCAAGGGATCAAAATAAGAAGTACCAAATAGTATTAGCAACACCATATAGTGAAAGGGTGGATTTTGATGTAGAAGTAACTTAACTATCAAAGAGTATCCTTATCTAAAACCCATTCAAAATTCATACGCAAGGGCTATATTATCTGAGGAACATTTTACAAGTGGGCAAATGCCAGAATGGAAGTGTAGAATTTATTTTCGGTGGGATAGTTACCAACTGACACCTTCATGTGTATTATGACTAGTTGACTAGTAACTAATATACATGTCATCAGTTTAGTTAACAGACATCTGGTGCAACCAAACAAAGTTCAGTGTAACATCAGTATATGGTTTTATTGTGATTGATTTGAGAAACATATATAAGTCAATTTAAGTCTGGAAGAAGGCCAGAGTATTCATCAACTCTTGTTTTCTTCTCTCTGAATGTTTTGTTAGACATGGAAATAAGTGTTGTGCCATTTACAATACCAAGTTGTGACCTGATTGAAAAATGAGTCTGTCAAATAATCTATGATTGGCTCTGTTTTTCAGTAATCAGTCACTTGCATCTCAGAACAGACATTTTTGGGGGTGCTGATTACTGGGGATTGAACTCATTGAGCTTGCCATGCAGGTTGCTAATGGTGCTGAGCTATCTCCCTGGCCCCAAGACTTAAAAAAAACAAACAAAAACAAAACAGAAAACCCCACAGATATTTACATCCTAAGAAAAGAGGAAGTTTATTCATTTACTTTATTGTTATAGATAAATATGTGAAATTACTATTGTCTTAAAAATGTGACCCAAAATACCCACAAATTGCTTCATAGAAATTTGGACAGTAGATGTTGAAGGAGAAAGGACCCAGCACTTAATTCCACCAACTCCCAGCACTCCCAACTAAAAGATCTCCAAACTTTGTTAAATTGGCCAAGGATATAGCTCAGCAGCACTAGGTCCTGAATTTAATTCCTGGTACCAAAAAACTCCCAAAATCAAACAAACAAGAAAAAACAACTTTGTTAAACAGTATACTGCATTTTCGTAAAGAAAATGCTAGTAGAACTCAAGTTATAGAATATTATTAAGGTTAGTGTCTCGGTTATTTAAGATAAATCTGTTCAACAGAAGGTAATGCTTCAATATGGTTTAATATTAATTACTCAACTCCTTCACCTAGAAATGAAGACTTACTTGCCTCTGACTCAGTCTCTGGGGTTTGAGTTTATTTCATAGGAAATCAGTTTAATCTAGGACCTGGTTTTTTCCATGTCTGGCCTCAGAAAGGACACACCTTCCCAAATACATGATCTCCAAACTTGGTTAAACAGTAGACTGTATTTTCCTAAAGAAATATTGCTGGTAGGACTCAGAGCCAGGGTCCTTTCCCAACTTCAAGGCTAATGAATTTGGCAGAGGGGTAGAACTGGGCTAGGGGAGGAAAAATTTCATCACAGAAGGGATGCAAACATATAAATGTTCACTTTTTAGTTACTCTTTTTCTGGGTCTCCCTGTCTTGCCTTCCCTCTTCTTCCTCTATGTCGACTCTTCTTTGTACTCATTGCTGCTGTTTCTTGCAGAGGAAACATTTGTATAGAATGTGCTCACTGGTGAGATAGCTCAGTGGACTCAGCACCTGCTTAGGCAAGCACAGGGCCCAGAGTTCAATCCCCGGCACCACTTGCCATGCTGGCCCCACCCCTAGGGTGTGCTGAGTCTGCCAGTGAGACCAGGTCTAGTGACACACACCTGTAATCTCAGTGCTGGGAAGGCTGAAAATAGGAGGATCACTACCAGTTCAAGCTGCGTAGTGAGACCCTGTACCAAATACATTAAAAAAAAAAAAGTGCTCAGGGGAAGCTAATGTTTTCCTGTCTTTTCTCATAGCTAGGCTTCTAGTGGAAATTTTGATATATAAACTATAACTTGTTGACTTGTTGGAAACATATCTTCGAGGACAGAGGGCATGTTTCCTCATTTGGAAGAGAGCTATCTACTTGTTGTAGCAATCTGTAAGTCCCTGAGGAATTATATAAAATCCTAAGATTCTGTGGGACTATCTACATGCCTTTTATAAACAACTACCACTAGATATAGGTCTTTTATATCACATTGAGAGTTTTTTATTATATAATCATCTGCTTGGTGTTATTTTTAAAGATATCTCATGATTTTGAACACTATCATGTTTCTTTAATGTTCATTTTTTCTCTAATATTTTAGAAGTTATACATTGTATTTTTGCTTTTTTTTTCTTTTTAGATTTTAAAATGTCTTATACTATATAAGCACTTTCTTCCTTTTTTCTATTATAGCTCCAAGTAGATTGGGAGAAAATCAAAGCTAAAATTCAGATGGAAATTACTAAAGAACGAGAGCGCTCATCAAGCAGCCAGCCCAGCAGGAACACAGGTCTGAAGCTCTAAGCACCTTGCCCACCTTCAAGACATTTTGAGATTAATTCTGTTTAGCCAAAGCATGTTTTGGTTGCAAAATAAAAAGGTATAGTCTTTAATTATAAGCACTTTCTGTGTATTTGATACTTGAAAGTATAATCAGATAAAGAGTAAGCACAAAGTAATTGATATAGTTTCAACTTTTATATTTTCTAGTCTAATATTTAGCAGAGCATTTCTGTAATTTCTCTTTACCTATGTAGTGTTTGTATATCCCATGTTTTGTTCATTACCTTATCCCTGAATCTTTAGGCATGCACAAATGTGAATGCTGATGATAAAACATTGGACTCGTTTTTTGACCTCCTAAATTGTAAAGTGCCTCCAAGAGCTTATTTATACCATGACATACAGATACGTTTGTGAAAAATATGTAATAAGTTAGATACCTGTACATCAAAGTTCAGAGTAGCTTTCTTTGAATAGCAAAAGGTAGAAAAACCTCAAATATCCATCTATAGATGAGTGAACAAATCAGTGTGGTATCCACATACAATGGAGTGTCATTCAGCCTTACAAAGGAATTAAATCCTGATGCATGTTACAACATAGATGAACCTTCAAAAACTTGGCTAAGTGAAATAAACCCAACACAAAATGTTGTGTATTGTATAATCCCACTTATGTAAGGAGCCTAGAATCAGCAGGTTCATAGAAACAAATCAATCAGCAGGTTCATAGGAACACAGTGGTTTTTAGGGACTAGGGGTGAGAAGTTGGGAGTTTATTGTTTAATGAGTATGGAGGTTTTGTTTGACATGAAAAAATTATTGAAATGGGTAGTGGTGATGGTTGTACATTTATGGATTTTAATGTCACTCATTGTAGTTTTTTTTGTGTGTGGGGGTGGTAACTGTAATTGAACTGAGGACCTCGCACTTGCCAGGCACACACGGTGCCACTGAGCTATATCCCTGGCCCCTAAACTGAACTCTGAAAAATGATTTTAAAAGGGCTGGGAATATGGCTTAGTAGTAGAATATTTGCCTAGTATTTGGGAAGTTCTGGGCTTAATCCCTAGCAATGTAATAAAGATTTTTTAGTGTTAAAATTTTGTTTTATATATAGTGTCTTCACAATTTTACAAACGTATAGAATGAACAAGTAGTAATATTTTCCTAGCAATAGACCCTAGATTCTGAACTTGTGAAAGTCTTAGTAGGTGATAAATCTGTCTGACTAGCCATAGTTCAATATGTCCCAAAATAATTATTACCACACAAACCTTTTAAAGGTTTCACAAACATTTTGAAAGTTCCATGAACCTGTTTTTGGAAATGCTACATTTTGGGATAGGTATATGTATATACATGGGAAAGGGATTACTTAATTTGCCTCCATTTTAATTACTGAGTTTCTAAGTTTCTTTTGTAGAAATACTTACTTTTAAGTGCATTTCTTTTCTTTTTGAAAATGTTAGAATGTGCTGTTCTTGTTCCAGATGTCAGATACAAAGATCTGTTCAGTTCATGAAATCTGATTGAGTTGTTTACCTATAAGTTATACTTACAAGCTTATATGTACTTTCTATATTGTTATATTTCAAGGAAAAGTTGAAAAGAATAAATTTTGTTATGTGTATTTTACCTCAATAAAAAAATGAAGTAGGTCTGTGTTCTAAAAATAGTTATGTTGGGCTGGTGAGATGGCTCAGTGGTCTAAAGCACCTACTTAGAACAAGCTAAGCTAAGCAAAGCATAGGGACCACGGTTCAATCCCCCAGCACCACATGCCAGCCAGCCCCGCCCCCTGGTGGGCTGAACTGGCCACACACACACTAAATAAATAAATAAATAAATAAAAATTAAAAAAAATAAAAATAAAATAAAAATAGTTCTGTTATTCTACAATTCAGTTCTCACTGTGTGGAGTTAACATCAAATCCTCTAAGGTAAATGGCAAGGCCCTTGCTACAGTTTAAGTCGATATCCCTTTGGAACCTCTTACACTTCTCAGTGAGGCTTTGGGCAGTGATTGAATTATGGGGTGTATGGCTGACTTGTTCTTTGTAGGCAGGTTGTGTTTGGAAGAGACAGTCCCTGAGTGTATGACCTGCAAGGCTGTATCTCCCTGCCAATCCTTCCTTCTCTCTCTGCTTCCTTGCTTCCATGACTTGAGCAGCTTTTCCTCCTTTATGCCCCTCTGCCATGCCACTCAGTCCTGGAGCCAGGAGGCCATATGGACTGCAAACATGAGCCAAAATAAAGCTCTCCTCCTTAAAGTTGTAAGGATCGCACATGTCCCAGTGACAAAGTGATTAAGACAGCCCCCAAGAAGGCTGCTCTTCTTCAGTCACCACCTGCAAGTGGAGCCTCCACATTATCCTGAAGTCCCAGGTTATCTGCACTTGGGTCTGTCTTGGCTACATATTTGGGTGTTCTCATGACCACCTTTCACATTTTTCTATGACTCATATTTTCCTAGAATGAGTCATAGAATTCACTGGAAGCTTTTACTTACAATATCATTAAAACCCACATGGGAACACCCACATGGAAAAGATGCAAGGTGTAGGCCAGTAATGGCGAACCTTTTAGAGCTTTCAATAACACAAACAGGGCTGACCAGATAGCTCAATGGTTTAAAGCACCTGCTTAGGCAGACACAGGGGTCGGAGGTTCAATCCCTGGCCTGCCATACTGGCCCCGCCCCTGGGGTGCACTGAGACAGTGATTGAGACTAGGTGTGATGGCGTGCGCCTGTAATCCCAGCACTTGGGAGGCTGAAAACAGAATCACTACAAGTTTGACCTGTGTAGTGAGACCCTGTAGACACTGCACTAAATATAAATAATAATAATACAGACAGCCTGCTGCAGCACCTATGCCATAGGTTTAACACTACTGATACAGGAGAAAGAAGGAGAGGGTGGAGGGAAATGGAAGGGACACCTCTTAGTTACTTCTCTGGTTGCTGAGATAAAACATCCGAAACCCAAAGTTGAAGGCAGAAAGTTTTATAGAAGTTTCAGCTCACAGTCCGCTGGCTCCAACGCAGGGGTGGCATGGCCCAGAAGAAACAGTGCATGGAAGGCAAAAACAGTGAAATAGTGAAGCAGCAGCGAGTGATGACAGCAGCCTTCTTTCCATTATATTCTGTCAAGGTGGTCTTCTGTTTATCCGCAGGGTTTTGTTACATAGACATAATTAAAACATTGGCTTTGCAGTTGAACTCAATCTCCAAACCCTTGCACTGCCTAAAGATCTGGTCATTGAAATTCTACCTTCTAATGTTGATTGGCTTTTCTGACAACTAGCTGGCATCCTGATGCTACCTAGGTCCCCACCTCCAAAACTACTGTGACTACTGCATTAGCACAACAGGTGTCCTTAGCACTCAGGAAATTCCAAAGATTTTAGAAGATCTAAGACTAGATATACTTTTTGTATATCATAGGCCAATGCTCTCCTCCCACCCCCAACCCCTTCAATACACGATCCTTTATAACAAAATAATCATACCTGACAGCCTTACAGATACAGCAACATTTGTTATTTTCCAACATATTTGGAAATTTCAGTATTATAAGGCCAGTATTAATAGCATATTGCATTATGGTCATTGTAACTAGGAGATGAGTTAAAAGATACTGGTGTATCACTAGCACTCTGTCTGGTCTCTGTCTGGCAGTCTGCTCCTCAGGGGATGCAACAAGAAAATGTCCATATCAGCTCATCTCTGTATTGCTTCATCTCCCCAAATCTATTCATTTCATGAGCCTGCATAGCCATGTCAAGCGCACACATCAGGATATCTGTCTGTTCCTCAATTCCAATCAATGTATAATACTAATTCATTTTACTATTCAGCTACACTTCCAGCCTGAGAGCAACAATTTTATTCACTGAGTCTAGTGAATATATTCAGTTAAAGTTGTTAGAAAAAGCAGCTATAATACAAAGTTTACAGAAGTCAGAACCATTCTCCTTCTGTGGTACTTGTCTTTCCTGAGTGAAATCTCCCTCACCTTTAATGATTTCCTATACTTCACATTTAAAAAAATCCATTTACTAACTAAACCACTACTGAAAACGTGCTGTAGCTTGGGAACCACTCAAGATGGTAGATATGTAACAGCAAACACAACAGAAAAAAATATTACTGCTGTCTTTTGAAGCCTACATTCTAATGGGAGTGTGTGTGGGAAGACATAACATAAACAAATATTTAAAAAAAAGATTTCAGGGTTGGGAATGCAGGTCATTGATAGAGCCATACATAGGTTGGCACATGTGAGGCCCTGAGACCTAGGCTAACAACCACCGCCAACACACATACACACACACACAAATGTAGTATTTTTATATTGATAAAGACAAAGTGTGACAAGGGGATAGGAAGCTGATAAAGGCATATCTTTTGGAAGGTGTCACTGAGAATGTGTAATTTGAGGAGACACTCCAAAAAAGAAATGCTCATTTTAAACTTCTGTCAAATACAACAGAGAAAAAACATTAGATAAAATTCCTATTAGATGAGCTTATATTATTCCTCTGAAACCTAATTTTAAGAATCAGACGTAGGGTTTTGCACATGCCAGGCAATCCCTTGCATTAACTGATTTTAAATGAGTTAGTCTATAAAAGGAATTCTCTAATTCTTTCTGGATGGTCTTGACATGAGTAGTAATTGTTGTACATAATATAGCTTGCCTTGAATACAATTTATGTGGTAGCATATTCATAATAATGCAAGCACTAAATATCCATCAAGTTGTAACTCTTCAGGTCCAGGTGCATAATCCTACATATAAAGCCCTGAGCCAAATCTGTTACAGAATTAAAATCTGTGTAAAAAATGCAGCATATATTCCAATGCCTTGATAAATTGATGCATAAACTACATTTATTATATGAAATATCCAGCAGGGTCACAGCTTTAGTCCTTAATCAAATATATTAATATTGCTGTTTGGGACTGGGAGTTTATTTTGATAGTTGTGTGCTTGCCTAGCATGTGTGAGGCCCTGAATTCAACCCTCAGTACTGCAAAAACAAAATAGTATTTCTACAGTGTAGCACATAGATATTTACATTAAGTGGTATGAATAAAGATTAGAAGTACCTTCAGATTTGCTGTCCAATGTGTTCAGGTTGGGTTCTATTATGAAATAAATTTTGGATTATAACTTATGGATATGGGATAATGGACTTGTGGAAGAATTAGAGAAAAAACTAGGGATCATACATGGAGTGGGGTTAAAAGAAGGTAAAAAGCTAAATCATTTTTCATGGTGGAAAGGCAGTAGTTAATACATCCTGACAGGAAATAATAAAAACTTAGAGATGTTCTGGTAATACAAAACAGCCAGCTAAAAAGAATTAAAATTGGCCAGGCGTGGTGGACTTAGGAGACTGAAGCAGGAAGATTACCATGAGTTCAAGGCCAGCCTAGACTGTGTAGCAAGATCCCATTTCAAAACACAAATAAAAAGAGTTGAAAATGATTGCTTCACAGGTTGAGGAAAAAGTCTAATAGCAATATTTTTCACAATAAGCCTTATAAAACTACTAGCCTATTCCAGTGTGCACCTGATAACTTTGACAAAAGCAGAAACTGACCTTTAAAAGATGACATGTGGGAGAAAATATGCAAAACACATACTTGATAATATGCCTCAACATATCAAGAACTGTGAAATCTCACCAGTGAAAAAGGACCATCTGGGCCTGATGGTGCACACCTCTAATCCCAGAACTGAGAATCGTCATGAGTTCAGACACCCTGAACTTGGGCTGCATAATGAGTTCAAGAGCAGCCTGAGTTATGAAGAGGGACCTGGAGAAGAGAAGAAAGAGGAGGGGAGGGGAGGGCAA